GATTGGCACAGGATAGAGCAGGGTTTAGGGCTGTTGTACATAGGGTCGCTATGAGTTACAAATGACTCGACGGCACATAACAACAACAACAACAACCAAAAGAACAAAGTCTATCTTAGAAGAAGTGTAACTAGAGTGTTCCTTTGAGGCAAGGATGGGACACTTATATACTTTGGGCATGCTATTAGGAGGCCCCAGTCCTTGGAAAAAGACATCCTGATGGGAAAGGTAGAAGGTCAGAGAAGAAGCCAGAGACCTTCAAGGAGATAGTGACTATAACAATAGGCCTGAGTACATCAGATCATGAGGATGGTACAGGAGAGGATAAAGTTCAGATCTATTGCTAATGGGTCTCTACATTGATGGCACATAAGAATAACATTATGGAGCTCTGGTGGCCCAGTGGCAAGAAGCTGGATTGCAATTCTGAAGGCATGTAGTTCAAATCCACCACCTGGTTTATGGGAGAAGGATGGTCAATCTCCTCCCATGTGATTAAGTGCCTCTGAAAATCTGCCAGAGTCATCTATGGGTGGGTTCTGAAGCAAAGGCACAAAACAACAGCAGCAAAAGTAACATTAAATACGCAGAATATAAAACATATCTTTGTTTAACTTACAGTTTGCAAGGCACTTCATGGCAGATAATACCCAATGAGGGAGGTCATCTATTAAAAACAAACAGAACATTTAAAAGTAAATCATGCAATTACTGTAATAGTGTACTTTAAAACAATGTATTTATTATTCATAATTATATACATAATATACAGATATATACACAGACACATATAATACGTACATACACCTAGCTCTAACTCATGAAAGACTTGACAATCTGTTTCTGTACAGATTGTTCTGTGCTATTGAGGGGACTGGGATTCAGTGACCCTTTGTACAACAGCTCTGAAGACTGCCCTGTACTGAGCCAATCTCACAAACTCCACTACACTTAAACCCATTGCCCCAGTTACTGTATCATCTATCTCACTCAGGGTCTTCCTCCCCTTCCCTGTCCTTCCATCCTTCTGAGCATGGTACCCTTCTCTAAGGATTGGTCCCTCCAGGCCACATGCCCAAAGTATGGGCAAGAATACCCTACAGGACATTCTACTTTGCCATATATGGTTCTCTAACCATTGCATCATTACTTGCTATGCAACAGAGAAATGGACAGTGACTAGGGATGATACAAGGAGAGTTGATGCCTTTGAGCTTTGGTGCTGGAGAAGAGTTGAATATACCATGGACTGCTAGGAGAACAAACAAGTTTGTTCTTGGAGGCAAGGATTCTGAAGCTTTGTCTGACATACTTTGGACATGTTGCAAGACAGGATAAGTCCTTGGAGAGGGAAGTCATGCTTGGGAGTTTGGGGGGACAGCACAGGAGAGGAAGACCTTCGATGAGATGAATTGATTCCGTCACTGGGGTGATGGGGATAGGTGTGTCAGAGACAAAAAGGTTGTCAAGAGATAGAGCAGGGTTTAGGGCTGTTGTACAAAGGGTCGCTATGAATTGCAAGCAAATCGACGGCACATAACAACAACCACCACCACCACCATTGCATCAGAATTAACTTAAGGGCACACAACATATAATATTAGGGTTAAAAAAGTATTGCATATTTAACATGACGCAAATTCAAGTCAGTATTTTAAAAGATATCTTTTAAAAACTCCCTAAAACCCACTAAACTAACTTAAGCAATCTGGAGTTTGAATCTTCCCACAAAATAGAAAACAATCAAATACCTGCCAATTCAAAGATTATCGTAAGGAAAGTTTGTAAATCAACTCCCAACAATTTCTCTTTTATCTCCTACCACCATCTTTGCAATCTAAACATTCCTGTTTCTGTTCTGCCTATAGCTATGCCATTTTATTATTGTTGTTTTGAGTAAAGTTCATGGTTATAGAGAGCTTGTGTCTAAGTACTATTAGTTTCCTGGGTGGAGCAGTTTATTAACACAGTGGTGGTTCAACCTTATTCAGTGATGCTGTGGAAGAAAGGCCTGGCAATCTCCTTTCATAAAGACTACAGACAAGAAAACACCAAGGAGCAGTTCTACTCTAACCTATTGAGTTGAAGGAAGAGAAATGGAATTGATGGCAAATGTGTTTGGTTAGGCTTGCTGAAACTTTTAATTTGCATGAACTAAAATATGCTGCATAAACATCCAGCAACTTTTGACACAAACACAAATACACATTTACTTGAAAGGTTTGTGGTTGAAGAGTACAAGTCTTGGATGTGAGTTTATACTTTTAAGCATGCTATTATAGGTAATGCAGATAGAACTGTTCCAAAGCTACATGCAGATAAACATCAAGCCCATTGCAATCTATTCAATCCTAACTCATAGGAATCTTCCATCTGTTTTTTAATGCTGTAAATCTTTAAGTGAGGAGATTATCTATTTTTCTCCTATGAAGACTTGTGGATTTGAACCACTGACCTTTTAGTTAGTAGCTTACATGTTATACACTATGTCACCAGGGCTCTTACCTGCATTTACCTTAGGCTTCTTTATGTGACCAACAACTTTGAAGTTTTAATTATAGGAACAAAATGTAAATACACACAGAATATAAAAAAAATATATGCATGCATATACATTATAAATGATAAGGTAATATTAATTTTATAAATAACAATACTTGAGGAGTTAACATTTTGAAAACATGCTGGTTTACATATTTTTTAACAACCTAACTTTTCCAATTGAATTATTTTCTTCTATGAAGTGGCTAGTGTATTTGAACTACTATCCTTACGGTTGGCAGTTTAGTGATATAACTACTGTGTCACCTGCATAAGTATTCATAATACAAAAAAGTCAGTGTCCTTTATAACTCTACTATTAAATGTACAGGCTTACATTTTCTGTGTTACTACAGTTCTATGCATGTTTTGACCCCTGAAATTATACATTTAACTGCTAAAGCCCAATAAAGACATAGGTCCTTCTTCCTACCTGCCCCCCACCCTGCCCCATTTGTTTCAACAGTTATGAGATTTATTAATCAAGTAACAGGCTACAACTTGGGATCAGAATCAAATGGCTACAAACTTGGGATCAATATCAGGAAGTGTGTAGGTAGTCTCTCTTCTTCAGTGCAGGCCAGCTTGTTCAACTCCTCTTAGCACCCCCCAATGTCCCCCACTCCGTACTGGCTCCTCTTGTCTCTGCCTCAGTGGCCATTGAACCCCTTTCTAGGCTCACATCGTAGTATGGATCACGGACCTGGTTCAAGGTTACAGCTCTTTTAGTTGATTACTTCTCTTTTCCTTCTTCTACATTTTGTCTTCTTTCAGTGTCCTGGACCATTCTATCTTGTTTATTACCAAATATTTTCCATAGTAGGTTTGGCCTGGTCAGTATAAATTTGCAATAAAAACATATTAAGCTTTTATTATCTTTTTATACCTGTTGGATGTTAAATGTTTCGTTTTTATTTTTTAAATCATTCATAAATTCACCTTTAAGGTGCCATCAAGCTGATGAGAACTCATTTGGTTCCTTCCATTGGGTTGCTGAGACTATGAATTTTAATGGGAGGATAATTGCTTATCTTTCTCCCTTGAAGCTGATGGTAAATTTAAAAACTCAAAGATAGATGGCTTTTCCTGTTGCTAGCACAGAGTGACTAAGAAATAAAATAATATTTCACAACTGTGCTGCAATCCCAAAGGCATACAGTTTGAATCCACCAGCTTCTTCATGGGAGAAAGATGGGCAGTCTCCCCCTGTACTATATACTGCCTCTGAAAACCTGCTGGAAGGTCAACTCTGGATTAGTTAGGACTCAATTTCACACAATAACAAGTCACTTAGAACTATACCCCTATGATTACACTTATGAGGAAATAACAATAGCTCTGGATGTTTCTTCAAGTAAAGAATTCAAATTGCACCTCTCTATTTTAACTGTATCTGTTACAAGGGTAAGCAAGTATGAAAGAGTCTTTTTTTACTATGTAAACTTAGTGATACCAACCTGATTTGTCTTGTAATACAACTACACCATGTTTACTTGTATTTGTCATGTTGTACATTATATATTGAGGAATTACTTGTCTTGGATTGATTACTTCTTCGATGGATGACACACCTAAAATTGTTTGTAGGCTAAAGAACAGAAAAATTATTTTTCCCCTCAAAATAAGCAAGATAGAATACAAACGTAAAAATGTATAAAATCAAGGAAACAGGCATCAAAATGCTTAATTTTTCTTTTAACAAAACTTGTAAGATTTACATTTAGCATTGAGTTTTAGATATACTTGAAATATATTTCAACAATCTTGTAAGAAGGCCAATATGGATCACAATTTATGGCTATAACTTTTAGTAAAATTAGAAGGGAAAAAAAAAAGATTCTATTTCTACTATCCTAGAGCTAGAGCAAAAACATTTAAGAAACATCTGTAGCGATGAAATTCTAAATTTTTGGACTAATTTGTTCTTCCTCATTTTATTATTTTGATAAAATTCTCAAATTAATAATCAAACACGTGAAGGGGCTTCATTGAGTTAGGTTTTAGCTTACTAGACCAGAATAATATATCTCCAAACTTCTTCAACATCTTCCTGTCTTATTTCTTTATTATCAAATGAGTTTTCTTCAGCATCATCCATTATTTCGTACTTTATTTCTTCTGTATTTTCCTTAAAAAAAAA